GGAGTAGGTGGGCTCTTCCATTCCCTGCTGGGGTCCGCAGTAAGAGGACCCATGAAATCACAACAAAAGTGTCCTGCCTGGGAACAAATTACTTGGCAGTCATGACTTTCATACGCTTTATGGTGCTTTGTAAGATACTTTTATGACTGGTGCCATCTGAAATAATGTTACACCACTCCGGAATGCCTCCATTGATCTCACTGCTACAATAAATAACAATTCGGGCATTTATATAGCGCTTCTCTTTGCAAAGGAAATCAAAGCACTTCACACATAGAAGAGGACCCATTTCATCCCCCACAGAACCCACATCCAACAGCCCAACTACACAGCGTCTGCTCGCCCTCCCGCCAGAAACAAAACAGACCAGTTCAACTCACAGCTGACAGGATGTCGGTCTTCTTTTTGGATTCAATAACATTGATCTGGAAAACACAAATACCGTTTAGATACATACCCTGCACATTGTATACAGTCTTTCTTCTATATATTACTCATTCTTGGAAAGGCTTCGAAACGACTGAAAAAAAGTCTTGGTGTGAGCAATGGGGCAAAAGAGAGAGAGGAAGGCACTTAATGGAGAAAACAATCCCACAAGTTCCAAGTGCCAAACAGCCTTTCCCCGCTGGTGTCACCAGACCGGACGTGTGGCTCTTCTATGGGGAATGTGGGGCAGCGCAGCAGTGTTGACCTCCCTGCCACCAGGGGGCGACGCGCTCCTCACCTGCAGCACGTAGTCCAGCGCCTCGTTGCGGAAAGCCTTGCGCGCAGTCAGCAGGGAGCTGCTGGCCTCCTCCACTTCGTGCTGGCGGTTACGGGCCGCCTGGGCGTTGCGGTTCAGGGTCGCCTCCAGACTTTCGCTGCACTTGTCGAACTCTTTCTTCGTGTCCTTGAATCGTTTCACATCCCTGCCAGGGCGGGGAGAAAGAAAGGGGTTGACGCCGTTTTCCGTATGGAGTCTGGCGGGATCAGCAGAGGGTACAAACTCGGTCCTGATGAGATGGGAGTGCCCAGTTCTCATCCTGAGAACCTGCTGTACCTGCAGGGTTTCGAGCTCTAAGTCATGTTATTAAGCCCTTCAATATTCATTTTACCTCTTTTTTTAAAGAAGTAAATATTAGAGGTTTCCTTTTACCTGTTATATACATTCTATGCATGAAAGCAGTAGGAAAAAAGAAAGGTCTTTTGACTCGGACCACCACAGGAGTGTTCTCTAGTGCAAAAGACTGCAGCGCAGCTTCTGTGGTGTTAATAGATGGTGTCGTCAGGAGCTGCTGGAATTGGATCTCAGTCTTATCACGAATCTCTCTCTCCCTCTTGGCTTCTCTCTCGCACATCTCTCTCCACCTCACCCCCACGCACACAGACAAGCACACACGCGCCTGTGCAACCAAACACCTACCTGTAGGCACACACACACACCCTCGCACGGAAACACACTCTTGCACACACAGTCACAGATGCGGACACGCACATTTGAACACACGGACAACAAAAGGGCGCGCGGGCACATTTCTACGGCCGCATAGACGCACAAAACAAGTGACACCATCTTCATGCACACACAATCTTACACAAGCCAAGACATACTGTACATGCCAAGGCGCACGCTGATGTGTGCCTGCGCAGATACAGACACGGCCGCTACAGATACTCACTCCTTCACGAAACTCTGTAGCTTTAACTTCACCAGTTTCTGGATGCTCTCGATGAGTTCCTGCAGGAGAAGAGATAGCATCAGAGCCGAGCACCTGGCTAAACAGAGCCATTGTTCTGAGCTACGCTTACATTTAGACTCCCAAGTCGCCTTATAAGGTCTTACAGATTCTACAGAGAAATGAATATGCCAACTAAATCTGCAGATTCTGTGTAACACGTCACCCTTAAGAAATGACGTGTTCTGCTATGGAGCATGAGGGGGGTGGGTGTGTGCAGGTAGTCAGGAAAATAATAATAATAATTG